CCCGGTTAATTTTTTTTGTATTTTTTTTTTAGTAGAGACGGGGTTTCACCATGTTAGCCAGGATGGTCTCGATCTCCTGACCTCATGATCCGCCTGCCTCAGCCTCCCAAAGTGCTGGGATTACAGGCGTGAGCCACTGTGCCCGGCCTGTATATTTCAATTAACTAGAATATTTGAAATGTTCCCAACACAGAAAGAGATAAACATTTGAGGTGATGGATATCCTAAATACTCTAATTTGACCATCATTACACATTACACATGTATCAAAATATCACATGTATCCCACATATATATCAATAAAAAAAGTTTACTGAGATATAAGATGGAGGGTCGGTGATTTTCAACCCAATTCTATGCCCGAGAAAATCAAGCATAAGAAAAAAATCTTTCAGACATGTAAGGCCTGAGAAGTGTTTTTTCCTATTCACCTTTCTTCAGGAACCTATTGGGGGATATCGCCATCAAAACAAGAAAAAAGGAAGATAAATGATGCCAAGAAACAGAAAATTCAACATAGGAGAGAGGCAAAGAGAACTTCCCAAAGTTGGTAAAATAAAACCCGAAAATGGTAGCTCTGCTATTTTAGACTGGTAGAGCAATTAAGCTGAATGAGAGCAAAGAGAACTCATGTTCCCAGAACACCACCTATGTGGGATTATACTGAGAAAAAAGTCAAAGCAGTTCTAAGGATGAATTAGGTATATAGGGAAAAAAGCAAACCATAAAACAAAGTAATTATTATCTCCAAAGTAATTACCATTAAGAATATTCTGTACAATCTTAATAATGTAAACAATAACTATGATTCACCCAAAATCATGAGATACCTACATCAGTAAGATAAGAGCAAGTGAAATGAATATGTGTATGTATTAGATTTGAAGATGAGGTTGGGGATATCAACCCCTCCCCTTTATCAAGCTAAAGGCTCAGCTTCTACAGTGGGAAGGCAAAAAGTAATTCACATAACTCAGGGGGCTGGGCAGAGAGAATCAAGAAATGGGAGCTACTCAAGGACATGGAAGGAAATATCAAAATATTCAACTTGACAAATAATTGCCTCCTGGACACAGGAATTAGCGTGGGAATAATGAGGCAAGGAGTACATCTTCTCATTGTGAATCCAGTATTATTTTACTTTTTAAGTTAATGTACATATGCTATTTTTAAACACAAAACTTAGTTTTTAAAAATGCAAATGAGCCAAGGTCAAATAAGAGTAACACGAATAGCCATTATTTCCCTAGTGCCTACAACCTGTGAGCACAACACCAGGTCTTTTACAAACACCACTTGTATTCTTCAGGCCAGCTTTGCCAAGGAGGATTAGCCCAGTTTTACAGATGAAAAAACTGAAAATAAAAATAAATAAGGAATATTTTTAATTATTTTATTGTTTCTTTCATATGTTTTTGTTTGATCCTTTACCTTTCCAGCAGTAGCAAAATATTCACCATCAGGAGACCATTCCATCAAATGTATAGATACTGAGGTTCTAAAAAAGAGAGTGAGGCAATTAGCACTTTTAAAATCTGGTGTACTGTATATAAAAATGGTCAAGATGAGATTTTTGTAACATCAAAGTCAGAATCCTCAGAATAAGACTGTTTTTGCTTCCCTAAAAATATAAATAAAATATTTCACCTCCATAACAACATAAATTAATTAAAACTAATCCAACATTCACTTTGGGAAAAGAAGAATGTACGTAACATGAATACAGTATATCTCCACCTACATGTCCCACCAACATCCTAAATAGACTAGTCTTTGTCACATAATCTATATGACTGTTAACAGTACATCTTCCACTTGAAAGAGTGGCTGGCAACTTTCACATCTTCCCCCTCCCCATCCTTATCTCAATCTATTAATGAGTAATTCCTATGTATCAACCCTGTCAACTCCTGTCCTGGGGCTATAACTATGAAAATACTTTCATCCTTTTTATAAATGATTAACTAGCACAAATTAAAGAATGCTATTATATGGGTTTTGGTTAGTAAAAAATCTACTTTTTAGGCCTCTATATGCAATGGTACCATCAAAAAATAAAGATCTTCGTGAAAGGAAACATATTTTAGGAACCATTTGCTTTTAATTAATGAATATAACAACAGAAATAGACACTAACTTGCACTGCCAGACGCACTTCCAATCATTTAAAACAGGAGGAATTTTATTATCAATTTCTTCCTCCTCTTCCAGAATATCATCTCCTGGAGGAGCCCACAACTGAATGGAATCAGTTGCTGTCAACAATCTATTATCTGAAAATTAGAGAAAGTTATGATGAATAGGCAAGTATTATATAGGGAAATACATGCACATGGGCTTCTGTTTAGATCTGTAAACTATTAACATTATGTGAAAAGTAAGCAATATCGCCAATGAAAAACACTTGATATATATCTATATTTTAAAGTCCCTTAGAAGAAAAAAAAGAATCTTCTGGACAACAAAGAGTAGTTCTTAAGGAAGATTTGAGAACAACAAAGTAAAGCTTACTGGCAAAGAGCTATTATTATCAAGCAAGTCAAAAAAACTAACAGTAAATGTATTAATAGAATAATAAACTCCCCAAAACTCTGATATATACCACATAAAATGTCCTCAAAATATAAGGCATAACTACAAATTAATAAAATGTGGTTTTATACATGAAATATAAAAATAATCCTTATTGTGAATATAAAAAGGGACAACAGCTATTATCATTAGCGGTTCCTAATTTTTCAAAATTAAAGATAGTAATTTCCCAATACAAATGATAAAATGAGTTCAAGTTTTTTCGGTCTCTGTTTTATTTCCAACGTGTTTCTTAGCAAATACAACAAGAGGAAAGGGCAGCACACGTTAACTAGGAAACAAATCATAACTGTTTCTTGAAACAAAACACTGAAAGGCAGGGGAAAACACAGAATAGTAAATTAAGCATTGTACAAAGCACTGTATACCAAGAAGGAAAAATTGTATTTGTCAACAAAAAGAAAATATATTGATCATTTTCTTTTTATGGGAGACTATACCACATTATTATCATACATCTAAAACAAATATTTAATTTAAATAATTTTAGATATAATTGCTAAATACCTTGAGGATCCCATGCTAAGTTGTACGTCACAGAACTCAAAAAAAACTGCCCAGTTTTAAGCCACTGGCACTTGAGTTGCTGAAATATGTAGACAAAAAGAAATAAGAAAAAAAAAGATGTTTTTAAAATAATATCCCAAAACACTACCATTTTATCATTTTCTTCAACTTAAGACCTTATGATCTGAAACAAAGATGAAAATATTTCACTATTATTTTCATATACTGTTTTAAATGTAACTTTAACTGGTTCCACTACTATTTATTATACCATATTGAGCTCCTTGCTATGCCCAAACAAAGCAGGTTCTCTCAGGCTTCCTTCCATGCCCATAAATACCTTCTTATATTTAGGATATCCTATTCGTCACGTCTCCATCTGCAAACCCCTATCTTTCCACTATGATTAGCTAACTCATCATCTCTGCTATGAAGCCCTCTCTGACATCCTGGCAGCACCAACGCCACTTTTACATTCTGCCATTATAACACTGATCACATGGAATTAGTATTTGTTTATACGTGTGACTCTCCCATTAAATTGCAACTCTTCAAGGGCAGAAACTGTGTCATAACAATTTTTGTTATTTTCAGAGTTTGTAATGGCTGGCACAAAGATGTTAAATAAATGTTTATTAACACAAAATAAATGCACATTAGGAAGAAATGCAAATTGTCATAATCCCATGGACTCAATGTCTAAAAGAAAACTAGATATATCTCCCCAAAAGTCAACCCATCTGCACTATATTGTATATGTAATCCACAAACTTTATATCTGAATAATTTCTATCCTATTTTCTTAATATTTTCATTCTAAAAGGTGATTTAAAGTTTAAAAGTCAAAAACCTTTGACATGAAATATATTCTCTAAGTAAACAAAAGTTTATATATTTCTTTGTAGTACATAAATATAAAATGTCCTTTTGTGAGAGGACATTTTTGAAAAGCTTTGCAAAGCTATGTTACCTCAGGCAAGCTATATGTTAACTGCTTGGCAAATAATACTTTTTAAACGGTAATGCCCTTCCATGTTATAGTATTTTAAGAATATTTAACAATTTTAAAATGTATACAAGGTTTCCTGACTACCTCGAGGCAGAATTTTAAAATACAGCTGCATTCCAACAGTCTGGGAGGCCATGACAGGAGGATTGCTTAAGGCCAGGAATTTGAAACCAGCCTGGGCAACATAGCAAGACCCCCCCCTCTATAAAAAATTTAAAAAATTAGCTGGGCATGGTAGCTCATGCCCGTAGACCCAGCTACTTCAGAGGCTGAAGCGGAAGGATCACTTTAGCCCACAAGTTTGAGGTTACAGTGAGCTATGATCACACCACTGCATTTCAGCCTGGGTGACAGAGCAATACTCTGTCTCTAAAAAAAAAATGTGTCGGGGCCAGAGGGGTGGGAAATGTGCGTATGTATCTGCAAAGCCTGCACTTCATTATCCAAAAATAATTTTACATTTTATAATCAGAGAAAATGTTATTTTTAAACCCTACCACTGCTGACCAAACAACAATCACAACAGCATAACACGATTTTAAATACTGTTCAACAAATCTATTTTAGTGTAGTAATTAAATAATTCCTAAAATTATAGACATCCCTAACATCCTTTCCTTTAGTGTTCCTTAGAGTGTAATCTGTGGAGCAAGTATCTTGAAGAAATTTGGGGAATAAGACCTGGAAACCTAAATTTTTAGTATGTGCTCCAGGTGACTCTTAAGTAGTCCAAAATTTGAAATCCATTTCATAATACTATTATAGGGAAAGATTAATATTTTAATTTATACTGTTTTAGGGGAATGTAAAAAGATATATCCAAATACATATATTTAACGAAAAAATTCCAAAACCATTTGTTTTAAGGCATTTCACTTAAAAATATACTTTAAAAATTACTTGTAAATATATACTCTGCATTCAGATTTAGCATTTGCAATTTTGATTATTTGTGAGTGATAGTAAAAATTTAATGCATGCAGTACTTTTTAATTCTAACCACATTAGATGTTTTGAACGTTAAGTAAGACAAATATAATAGAGCACCCAGTATGAATCTGAATGGTTCACAATGTGGTATGCTTAACCACTTAGCTGAGCTGGTAAGTGAGCTTTTTAAACTCCTAACGTCTTCATTTGACCAACATTTAGGAATACCTGCT